ATATATATATATATATATATATATATATATATATATATATATATATATATATATATATATATATATATATATATGGTGAAACTTTCTTATGTTGCTGTACAGTTTGTACTTACTGATACTATTACAAGTATATGTTGATCTAGCTAGTATACTAGCGTGTGTATAATATGCATGTGTGTAGCTACTACTACGTACTACTAATAGCCATATATAGTTAGCTAGCTTTGTTGCTCCCACAATTTGGGAGTTGATTATCCATCATAACTTCTGTGTATCATGAATTAGGATGATTCTTTATCATTTATCATAAATATCATCATGCATCTATAAATCACTTTTCTTGTAAATCTGTAATATTTTGGGTTTTCATTCATTTTATCATTTCTTGTTGATTCAACTTCATTTTAATTTGTTTTGGTGGTCACATATTTTCTATATTACCGAGGATTAAATGTTTAGATCGGTTTTTAATTTAGTGGAATGCGGCCGAATTATATTCTTCTTTAGGTCGTCTTATTTGAACGTAAAGATCGATCAAACCTATGTAATCGATCTTATGAGATCAAATCAATTGTGTCATTGAAAAAAAGATTCATATTTCTCTACAATATACGGTCCTATATACACAAATAAAAGAAGCTAATTTTACCAACAAAATAATGTTTTTTTTCTTTTTCATTTTTGATTGAGAAATTAGATAGGGCTGAAGCTCTTTGTGTGAAAGATGAACTTTTGAATGTTAGAAAATAATAAATTAGCCTTAATTGTTTACCTTTTTAATTATATTTGCCTGAAAGAAGTCCTTTTTATATTAGCAGATGGATTAGATTTAAGTAATTGGATAACAAGTAGAAGTAAGAAAGCATATATATATAATTATATATATATATATATTGATAATTGATTTATGTGAAAATGAAATAATAGAAGCATTAATTAAAATATTGTGTGGTGTGGTGTGGTGTGGTGGTGGAGTGGATTAGTGGTGCAGTTTCCTCTTTGTTCACTCACTGCACCTTTTTCAGTTTATATTGAAACACACACCGGATTAATAGATCGATCACTACTGTTTTTGTTTTACGATTCATACTTCAAAGTTTATTATATACTATATAATTAACTGGTGTGTTAACATTCATTAATGTGGTATTAATATCAAATCTACTCTCCAATATTTATTTTATACTAGAAATCAACAGTAGAATAGAAAGAAAAAAATAATATCAGCCAACTTTATTTTGAATCTTGGTTCAACTATCATCAAATGAAGTAGAAATATAATTTTTAATTTTCAATAGTTAATGTGATTCAATCCATTTTGTTTGTAAGGGGCATAAGGCCATTTAAAAGAACAAAAGCACTACTCATTATTCTGTGAATTTTAATTTTAATTTTTTTTTTCAAATAAAATTCATCTCCATATATATTCTGTTTGTTAATGTCAAAAGTCCCACTAGTTATTAAATGATGATTTTCTTTTTAATAGGTGCGGGTCATGAACTAATCTATCAAATCACAACTCTAATTAATATCAATGACTAATCATTTTGTTAAACTAGTATTATATTTGTTCTTTTAATTTCCAAACACAATTAATTAGTGATGGAGTGGTGGCCTTTTAATACATATATAACGAATTGTACAAAAATATATTTGACCTAATCAATATATATAATCCCCATATTAATTGCATCATCCTTGATCATCAAGTGAATAAATTATAATGATATCTACACCATTATATATGTACATATGTATCAGGAAAATAAAATCTTAGTAAGTATTTGAGAATTGTTACGAAATAGTGTAATTAATTAAGTGGCCTGCTAATAATATGCTCTTAATGTAACGCTCCTGGAAACTCGATTTCACTATAATTATATAAGTTTGAAAAAGAAAAGGTTATTACTTTGAAACACACAAATACACAATGTATGTAGTATATGATATTTAGGATCATGGATCATGAAGTTGTGTGTAGTAGTTATATAATTAATAATAGTAGAATAATAAACAAAATTAGACAATATATATGGTGATGATGAGCAAGTAGGTAGTGATACAGCCTGAGAATGAATGGACTAATTATTAATAATAATAATTAAATAAAAAAATAAAAAAATGAGAAGGTTTGGTGTTTCCCTGTAAGCAACAAGCTAGGTAAGGAGGATGATTGGATAGAAAATTCTTCTGTTTCACTTTCATATATATATATATATATATATATATATATATATATATATATATATATATATATATATATATATATATATATATATATATATATATATATATATATATAAGGTTTGGGTGTGGAGGGGCAAGTTATAAGTGGAGATGCGGCGAAGTGAAGACGCATGCAGAAGAGGGCATGTATCATATTGAATGGCCCTCTGTGATTCTGAGAGCCATTTAATCAATTTCATATATATATGCTTACTTCATTTTCACCTTTTTCTTCTTCACACACACACACACACACACACATGAACTGTTGCAATCTGACCTTCAACAAAAAGTTAATCTGACCACATGAGTTACCACTTATAGCTCGCTCGTGTGCACTAGTAAATCTAATTATTCCAACTTTTCATATATTCTGAGGATATAATGATTCAAGGTCAAACCTCTTTATTAATAAATAAATGAATAATAACCACGTACCACCTTTTCCTATATATATATATCAATCAGGAAAACATTATATATAGGGCATTTATATTTAAAATTAGTAAATAAACATATGCTGATTTAGATGTCAGATCATGAGAGCTCAATTAAAGATTCTATTTATTACATCAAAACACACACAAAAAAAATATTAATAAAGTAGAGGGTTTAGAAGGAAGGGGGCAGAAAAAGGAGTAGGGGCCGGGTAAGTAATTAGTAGAAGAGCAATAATTTAATATTAATTAATATTTAATATGTTTGTGCAGCCTCCCGGAGCTAAAGAGGACACCTAAACGCACTCACTGGTTTCCGCATATACACAAACACAACTCATTTACTATTAATTACCTCACTCATTAACTACAAACTCACCTAATTCTTATTATTATTATTATTAATAATAATAATATTAATAAATGATGAAATCATCATATCATGCCATAGACTATAGTACTACTCCATCTGTTTCAAAATAATTGTCTCTTTTTTCAAAATATTTTTGTTTCATATTATATGTCATCTTAGATTTTCAATACTGTATTAAATGCATTTTTTCCTGTTTTAACCTTATTAATTCAACTATAAGTATTAACTTTCTCTTATCACATCATTAAATAATCAAGGTTATTTTAGTTTTTCTAATATATTTTACCTAAAGAAAAGACACATTTATTGAGTTTCTTAATACTTGTGCAAAGATAAAAACGACACTTAATAGGAAACGGATGGAGTAATTAAATAAATTGAATTGAATGGCCAAACTTTTGGGGAGCCCCTCAACTCTCAACTATTGCAGAATGATGTCACCTTAAAAACATTAATTTAATTTATAAACCTTAAAAACAGGAAAACATGACACACCACTCACTGATTAACCTGTATTCTAGTGTTATATTATTATGGAGTACTTATTAACTTGGTTAAAAAGTAATTAAAAGCAGCCCCTAATATAAATATGTTTGATTTTATTAATTAATTTGAATTGGGAAAGAGGAGAGAATTTCTAATGGTGGGGCCCACCCAACCGAACCCAACCCAACCCAACCCAACCCAAACACATTGCATCGGTATCTGCCCAGCATAAAAGAGATTCTTCCCTCACATTCGGCCATTCTTTCATTTCATTTCATTCCCCACTCTCTTCTCATATCAAATACCCTGAAAAATAATACATACATACATACGTACATACAGGCATACAGCCAAGAAAGGAAGAAACACAGGAAAAAAAAAACTGCTTTCTCCTTTCCTTGATAGTTAGTTTGTTTCAGACTTGAGAGAAATGACTTTCTAATTAGCCATGACCATGATTCTATTGTGGATGGGGTTCTTCGAATGACAGGTAACTTAATTACAAACCCCATTCATCTCAATTCTCTCTCTCTCTCTCTCTCTCTCTCTCTCTCTCTCTCTCTCTCTCTCTCTCTCTCTCGCTTGTAAGGAGTTTCGTTGACGTTGCCTTTTTCAATGTTTGTATTTTTCTTTCTTCTTCTATATATGTTGGTTTGTTGTCTCCTTTTTAGATGCTCTCTGTTAATGTATATTTGCTGTTGAATGTGATTTATCACTTGTTAGTTGTAACAAGGTTCGGTTATTCTGTGTTATGGATCTAATGGTTCCATTCTTCTAAAGATTCCTTTTTTTTTTTTTTCTCAATTTTGATGTTTTTTTTTTCCTTTTCCCCTGATTGCAGTTTCATATATATAAGTATTCATGCATTGAAGATGTTAGTGACACTAGTACTGATTGGATTTTGGAACACAAAGGAAAAGAACCCTTGTTGGAGGTTCCTCTTCTTGTTTTTCATATTCAGGCTTCTCCTCTGTTTCGGCTCGTGATCTCTTACTTTACATTTTTCGAATAATATATAAATGTTTTCTACTGATGGAAGATGGTCCCTTCATACCTCTTTCATCACACACCGCCATTGATTTCAATTACATGGATGAACTCTTGTATGATGGTTTCTGGCTAGAGACCACCACCTCCACCCATGAATCCAACTTTAATTGGCCGAATCCTTCGACTCCCATTACCCTCCTAACCGATGATTTAAATCCCACTTCCTTCTATTTTCCCACTTCAGACCCTAACATTAATAATCCAAATCAGCCCCGTTTCTTGCACGAAGAAACAGCAATATCAACTACTTTCGGTGAGCCTGCTCTTACTCACCTAGAGATGGATGAATTTTCTGAAAATGAGAACAGAAGATTGTGGGTTGGTCCCAACAGAAATCCCATCTCGGTTAAGAATAGGTTACTGCAGGCTATCAACGGCCTCGACGCGTCTACAAGGGACAAGGATGTCCTTATTCAGATTTGGATTCCTGTTAAGAGAGGAACCGGACAAGTCCTCACTACCAACAACCAGCCATTTTCCATGAATCCAAACTCCAAGAATCTTGCAGACTACCGTGATGTTTCTCAGAGCTATCAGTTTGCAGCTGACGAGGACTCTAAGGAATTCGTCGGATTGCCTGGCCGTGTTTTCTTGAACAAGTTGCCTGAGTGGGCCCCCGATGTTCGTTTTTTCAGGAGAGAGGACTATCAACGTGTTAGTCACGCACAGCAGTACGATGTTAGAGGGTCGCTCGCTCTTCCGGTTTTCGAACAGGGCAGTGGTGTTTGCTTGGGTGTGGTTGAGATTGTGACGACTAGCCAGAAAGTCGATTTTAGCCCTGAACTCGAGAGCATCTGCAAAGCTCTAGAGGTGTCTTGTCTTGTCTTTGTTCATTTTTATCAGTTTGTGTTTCTATTTTTTAATTCTGTGATTGTATAATCATCCTCTTTTTTTCGCAGTCTGTTGATTTGAAGAGTTCCAACATTCAGAATCGTAACAATGGTGACGACGATCAGACGATGCTGCTCAACTCATTATCATCTTTTACACAACAAAATTGCGGGAGTTCACGAGTTATCACGGAAACTTGTGACAAGGGCAAAGCAGTTGCAGCTTCTTCGACTAATGATGAGTGTAGTGGAAACTTTTCATTGACAATCGGTGATGCTTCATTTGGTACTAAAACAAGCAGCGAAAAAAGACGAACAAAAACTGAGAAGACTATTAGCTTGCGAGACCTTAGGCAGCACTTCTCTGGGAGCCTCAAAGAAGCTGCCAAGAGCATTGGAGGTATGATTGTTTTAATTTTTTTTAATACTCGCAATTATAATGAGAATTAATACTAATTGTTCATTGAATATGTATATCAGTGTGCCCAACTACATTGAAAAGAATATGCAGACAGCACGGGATAACGAGGTGGCCCTCACGAAAGATCAAGAAAGTTAGTCACTCGTTGAGGAAGCTTCAACTTGTGATTGATTCAGTACAGGGTGCTGAAGGTTCTATTAAGCTCAGTTCTTTCTATAACAACTACCCAAATCTCGTCTCTCCAAACCTTGTACGAGGAAGCAGCCACTTGCAACCGTCGGAAAATCAGTCAGATGGTAATAACTTGTCAAGTCCTTCAAAATCACCTCCCTCCTCTGACGGCAGTCACAGCTCCAGCTCAAGTTTATCTTGTTCTACTGGGGCGAAGCAATCATCGTCTATTCCTATCAATGGAGATGCTTTATCAGCAGAAAAGAATGGAGTGATGATGCTAAAGAGAGCACAGAGTGATGCAGAATTGCACGAGAAATGCCAAGAAAAGGAGACAAAGCTTCTGATGCGATCTTACAGCCATAAGATTGTGCCTAGTTTCAGAGTGAAAGTTGCTTTTGGGGAAGAAAAGATTCGATTCGGTCTGCAACCACAGTGGGGTTTTAGAGAATTGCAAGAAGAGGTGTTGAGGCGTTTTAACATAAGCAGTATTGGCAGTTGCGTTAGTTTAAAATATCTTGACGATGATGATGAGTGGGTGCTTTTGACTTGTGATGATGATCTTGAAGAGTGTACTTATGTACACAGGTCATCCAAGAACCGAATAATCAAATTGGCAGTGAATCAAGCTTCTTATCCGAATCTTGGAAGTTCATTTGGCAGTAACGGGCCATAGTACTGAACATTACTAGTTGTGCAATATAATCTATGTAGTGTGTTGTAAAGTGTTCCTCAGGGCTTTCTGCATGTATTATGGCTCTGTTTTCTTGTCTTCCCTTTTTCACTTGTATGGAAATTTTGTTGTTTGTAATATAAAATACAGCTCTGATAAAAAAGAATTGTTCCGAGTATTCCTTTGAGATATAGCCAGCATTCAACAAATTTACCTACCAAACACTAATGAAGGATATTTTTTACCGACACTTTTGAGCTCGTAATCAGAATCTCCTTCATTTACAAAACAAACTAGCCTTTACATCTACCACATGATAATGTAGAAAAAAATTACGTGCGTGGTGGGAGAGGATATGCTCGATGTGGTTCTTGCCTAGGATGATGATGTGGAGAACGATGATGATGATGATGATGCCTGGGTGATCTGTTATTATTATAAGCTGGTGTATGATTATTAGTAGAATGGAGTGATGCAGGCGGCCTGTCCTTGGCAGCAGAGTCGATTCTTTCAAGTGTGTCAACAAGCTCTTGCATTGAAGGTCGATTCTTCTGTTCGTTTTCAAGACAAGTGAGAGTGAGTTGAGCAATTTGGAAAGCGGATCTTGATGGATATCTTCCTTCCAAACGAGAATCCATAACTGTCTTCAACTTCCTCCTGTCCGATAGATATGGCTTTATCCAATCTACCAGATTCTGCTGTCCAGATGGCCGGTTTGTGTCCATTGCACCCAAACCAGTCAGCATTTCTACTAACACCACACCAAAACCGTACACGTCACTCTTCACGTACAAGTGCCCTGTCAATTATTACATGCAAATTATTACAATACACACGAGAATTATTAATTAATTAATGAGCGTATTATGACGTACCTGTGGCGACGTACTCTGGTGCAGCATAGCCTTGGGTTCCCATAACCTGTGTGGTGATGTGAGATTTACTAGCCGTTGGACCCATTTTAGCCAGACCGAAATCAGATATCTTAGCATTGTATGACTGAGACACAAGAAAATAGTATATATGTTAGAGCAATGTCCGAAAATCAGAAGATCACTCAGTCATATATATGATTAATAAGCCAATCAACCAAAAGACAAAGTTGTAAAATGTAACAACATAAGAAGCAAGTGGAAGAACGACTAAGAAAAGAAATGATGGTAGGTACGGTACCCCATCGAGCAATATGTTGGAGGCCTTGAAATCTCGATAGATAACGTTTCTGTCTAAAGCATGCAAGAATGCAATACCACGAGCTGCTCCGATGAGTATCTTAAGCCTAATATCCCATGAAAGTGGCTGAACAGCAGCACCCCCTAAAGTAATTAATTAATGCAAATAATATCAATTATTAGATCAGTAGTAATAATTGATAAATAAAAATCAAGATCATGAATAATATTGATGACTTACTTCCAAAAAGATGGTTCTCTAAGCTGCCCTTTTGCATGAATTCATAGACAAGCAAAAGCTCTTTATCCTCCAAACAGTACCCCAATAGCTTAACAAGATTCGGATGAGAAAGTCTTCCCAGAAAATGCACCTCAGACTGCAACACATATATATACATTAGTTTAATTAATTAGTACTAATTAATCTCAAAGTAATTAGTAGTAGAATGAATGAATGAATGAATGAATGAAGAATTACAATACCTGCCATTCTTGAAAGCCCTGCATGCTTTCATGATTCAACTTCTTGACAGCAACGACGGATGATGATGATGATGAAGAAGCGGTAGTACTAGTTTTCGAAGAGTCGAGCCAGCCTTTGTAAACCTTACCAAAACCACCTTCACCAATAACAGTATCACTCCGGAAGTTTCTAGTGGCAGCCTTCAATTCCCAATAACTGAATATTCTCAAATTAGGAAGGGGCAACATATGCCCTCGGGGGGGCGCATTCGAGTACTCATCGCTCCCACTTCCCGATAATCTGCTGTCACCAGAAACAGCTGCTGTGCTCCCGCTCGATGAACATGTTGTGTTGCTGTTACTCGTTTGCTGCGATTGCGATACTACCCCTGCCAATAACATATCATCATATCATTTATTTATACAAACATGATCATCTATAAATAAATAGTATAAGAAATAAGAAATAAGATCTCATCTTTAAATTCAAACCTGAACTCAATTGAGCAGTGGTGGATGGGGTACTAGTTTGTTCATCAACAGAAGCACAACTAAAGCAAATTCCCATCGATATTCGATTATTAATTAATATGAATGAATCAGAAAATATATATAGAGATATGGTTGATCATCACCACCAATCCTTCTTCCACACATACATATGATGAAATTTGTCTTCTTATCCTAACACAACTTATATATATAAGTAGCAATTAGCAACTACTTTAATTTGTTGTGTTTCCACACAAGAATTATTTTAATGATCATGTAGTGGGAAAGCTTTATTATATAAATATATATTCAGCTTTGATTAATTATTTTAATGATGGCTGTTTGTTTACGAAAGAAAATAAAAAACAAAGTCAAGTCAAGCAGCGTGTACTTGGAAGTTGGAACATTTATTTCTCACCGGCCGGTCACAGTCAACTGCTCATATCTTCTTCAACCTTTTTATTACTACAATTATTATTAATTCAAAAAATACCTTGCACATTTTTTCCCATGTCAATTAATTAATTAATTAATACCTGCACTTTTATAAAGTCAACTCTTTCTTATTACGAACAAACAAATGTTTTACTATATGGGAATAATATGATAAACAAATTGAAATGCTATTCATAGAACAACTTTTACCGGCTTGCAGTGCGACTTTATTTCATTTGTAATTTTTTTTCAAAAAATTCAAAATTCTCTCAAACCCTATCCGAGGCCCTTCGAATTCCTGCTGATTAAACGAGCAATTCAACAACGATTTAAGGTAAAACTCGAACTCGAAATCGTTAATCCAGTGTTTTATAGTAGTCTATTAACAAATTTCGTCGAAAATCTATACGTTTTCAGTATTTCGAAGAAATTCGAAACTTTTCGGGAAAAAAATTGTGTTTCGTGTAAAAAATCACGAAATTAAAGGGCTAATTTCGTGATTTTTTCCACGAAATTAGCAGGATTGTTTGTTTTTCTTACGTTTCGTGCAAAATCGTACGAAACAAAAGCTTACATTTCGTGAGATTTCTCACAAAATTAAAGCTTTTGTTTCGTAAGATTTTGCACGAAACATATGTGTTTCGGCCTGTTGATTTTAAATGCCTATGAATATCCACTCATCTGTTGAGACAGACTACGTGTTCCGACATTAGGTGTCGTAACAGAATTCTTGTGTTGTCACGGTAATAAATCTACTAAAAGCAGAATAAAGAACACAAGAATTTAATGTGGTTCGGATACAAATGTACCCTACATCCACGAGGACTTGCAAAACTAGTTCAGATTTAAGTGTACATTAATAGGACTTAATAAAACACTAAAGACTCCCTCTTTATGTGATACGCCGTTCTTGCACACGACTCGAACTTGTTGATAATCAAAGCAATTCCTCCTCCGCACTCCTGGACTTCCTCCAATGTTGAACTTCCTTCAAACGGCAGATCGACCTCTCCCGAGATCTTTTAAGCACTTCTCCCGAAACGCCGATCTTCTTTATGGCCTGGTAGAAGAACCTGTTCTGTTCCACACCTGTCATGCAGACAGCCTGCAGCACGGCTGCACCCTTCAAAGCCTTA